ACGAGAGGAATGCTAGTTAGTGAGAAGATGACTCCCAGAAGCTAAGGCCCAGCCAGTAGGGCAGTGATGAGGGCAGCCAACAGCAGAGCAGATCTGGAGCCTAGTCTAGGAATCGAATGGAATTCAATATCCATTTATTGAGACCCTACTGGGCATGTAACTGCTGACAGGGAGCTAGCTGCCCACCATGGGGCAGGCAAGCCTGGGCATTCCTGTGGTGTCCTAATCAGCCCTCCGGAGTTCTTTTTGGCTTTTTCAGTTGACTGGTTTACCCATGGGTGGGATGAGTGTTTAGGGGTCCATCTGGCAGCTCTAGTTGGCAGCATTAATGTGCAGTCTATACAGCTATTAATGTGAGCATCTGAGGGGCATGGAAAATACTCACAGTGGAGATAAAAGCCAGCCCACTAGGAAGTATGTCAATATCTTCAGCGCCATTTTCTGCAAAAGAAGTGAAGGATCAGAAAGATGCATGTACGAAGGCTTAAAAAAAGTAAATCTCACACACAGTCAAGATTTTGAACTTCTTTTGGAAACTACCTTAACTTTTCAACTATTTACTTGGGAAACTATATTAACTGTCAGGAATCCCACAGGCATGCTACTCTACAGTAAAACCTGAGCCAGACACCTGAAATACTAAATTCTCTTTTTAGAAGTCCATTTTCAGGAGACAAAGGCAGATGATTATAAAATAACTTCATATACTAGATTTATTATTTAAATAACAACCCCCAGGGCATGTCCTGAGGGATTCAGCCTTACTTCCCACAGAAGATTGATATACAGACCAAGTGATAACATTTGTAAAGTCATCATTGTGAAGGTCTCTTAAAGGCCTGTCTGCCAAGCATTTCTCTCTTCCAGCTTGTTCAGGCCTACAAAAATCTATCATTCTTCAATCAAATTGGGAAATTACTAATTGTTCTCTGTTATAAAAGCAGTAGGTCTTAGGATGAACTATTGAATATACATGAATTTGAAAGATTTTAGTCAGATCTCTTTCTCATTGAGGGCTGGCTGTGAGCATTTTTCTATGGAAAGAAGCATATCATAAAGGACTGAGAACAGGATGAAAAAGGGGATCACGTGGATCCCAGTAGAGAGATAGACCCACATGTGGTGTGGTCCCAAGCAGGCAGCACTGAGGGTGAAGGCAACTGTGGCCAACTGTAATTTACAAATATGGTAGGAACATTATGGATCAAAGCCACATGCTTTTCTTAAAATGTGATGTTCATACTTTTCCATCAAGAGTTGAGGTCTGTATTCTCTCCTCCTGAACCTGGCTGGACATTTGTGACTGCGTTAACAAATAGAATGAAGTGGAAGTGATAACACCTGACATACAAAGTAAAGTCATAACCAAATCTCCCATTGCTCTCTCCTCTCTCTCTCAAGACATGTACCTTGGGATCCCTGAACCTAAATGCAAGAAATCTGGCTACTTTGAAGCTGCAGAGGAGAAACTATGGAGATACAAGGTAGAGAATGATCGTGGAAGAGTCTCAGACGACTTCAGTTCCCAGCCTTTTAAGTCACCTTAGTGGATGCAAATGGAAAAGAGATGAACTGCCTGCATCCACAGAGCCCTGCCAAAACTGCAAACTCATTGGCAAAATAACTGTTGTCATTTTAAGTTATTAAGTTTTGAGGTGGCTTGTTGCACAGCTACAGTAAGTGGAACACACGGAAAATGGTTACCTGAGGTGATGGGTTACTAGTATGTCAAAGGCAATCAAGGGAGGATAGAGAAGAACAGGTGAAAGAACAGTAGAACAAAGCCAAAGAAAAGACAAATTTGAGTCAATGGAATAATAAGCAATAGGCACTGAAAACAGGACAGAGGACAGAGAAAGATTTAATCACATTCACTACACTGAAATTTGAAACGAATCCCCAACTAGTTACCTGAAAATTAAATTAATCAGAGCTTTCTATTTTCTAAGCATTCCAGCTAATCAAGATTTACCTATATATGGTATTTTGATGGCCTGAAAGATTTAGTGTTTTTTCTACCATAGACATTGGGAGAATCCAGCAAATTGAATAAAACAATTTTAAAAATCATATTCAGGGTGGGTAAGTTTTTTGAAAAAACTTTTTTCTCTCACTTTTTTCTCTGAACACCCTTTCTTGGTTTCCTTTTGCCCTAATCTCCTTCCCACCTCTATCCTGGATGTGGCTACTCCCCAGGCTCCACCTGACCTTGGCTGTTTCTCATAGCAAAGAACCCATTCTCCCTGCATAATCCACACTAGTGCCATGCCTTCAGCTTCCACCCACATGCCCTTGACTCTCCCATCTCTAAATCAAGCCCAAATTTTTCTCCCAATTTCTAGACCCCTGTAATCACCTGTATATGGGACACTTCTACCTGGCTTTTTCATTTCTCATGTTTGACATGTCTCAAACTGATCTGGAAATTTCTCTCTTAAATCTCCATTTTCTACATTTCTATTTCAATGGATGGCACTTCCATCCCCCAAGTACCAAAGTAGGAACCTTGGAGTTATCTTTGATGCTTTTCTTTTCCTTACTCCTCAAATCCAATTGATCCTGAGTCTTTCATACTCTAGAACTCTCTCCTGGATTTCTAGAATAGCTTCCTAATAGGTCAACTTTGTTCCACTACATTCTCTGCACTGCTGACAGTCATGTTTTTAAAATGGAAAGTTGACCTTGTTATGCCCCTGCTTATAACCCTTCAAAGGTCCCCTAGGGCTGGCAGTATAAATCCCAAGCTCCTTGGCCTAGATCCCAAATTCTCCACATCTTGGCTCCAGCCTCAATTCAAGTCTTATGGCTCCCACTCTTCACTCTTCATTCCAGGTGTGCAGCAGTTCCTGAAATGTGCCAGACTCATTCACCTGCATGTGGAGCACATGCTGTACCCAGCTTCTTGGCAACACACGACTTTCCCATACCACCCTCACCTCCGCTTGGCTGAGTATCATGGGCTCTTAGAGATGACTTGGGTCCTACCCTCTCACCCTTCTCAATCTCTCTTGGTTCCAGTACCCATTTTATGTACTAATATGGTCACCTGTGACTACCTCCACTCTGATGTTTTCCACACTTGGACTGCAACCTTCTGTTCATTTGTCCATTTCCTACTAGAAAGTAAAGTTCCTGGGAACAAGGATCAGGTTTTATTCAGTATAGTATCCTTGCACACAATATAATACCTGCCTTTTAACTGTAGAATCTTTCAATAAAAGCTGGTTGGCTGACTAAAAAAGATAAACTGCTTTAGTTTCTGGAAATTTGTCTTGTCTTGAGGTTATAGTATTAACAAGTGACTGTTTTCTTTTCTTTTCTTTCTCTCTCTCTCTCTCTATCTCTTTGTACTGAAGTACATAGTCAGTTATAACATGTCAATTTCTGGTGTACAGCATAAAGTCCCAGTCACGCATATCCATACACATATTCATTTTCCTATTCTTTTTCATTAAAGGTTATTAAAAGATATTGAATATAGTTCCCTGTGCTATACAGAAGAAATATGCTTTTTAATCTATTTTTATATATGTGGTACAAATCTCAAACTCCTAAATTTATCCCTTCCCACCTCCTTTCCCCTGGTAACTATAAGATTGTTTACTATGTCTGCGAGTTTGTTTCTGTTTTGTAGATGAGTTCATTAGTGTCTTTTTTTTGTTTTATTAGATTCTACCTATGACTGATATCATATAGTATTTTTCTTTCTCTTTCTGGCTTATGTCACTTAGAATGACGATCTCTAGGTCCATTCTTGTTGCTGCAAATGGCATTGTTTTATTCTTTGTTATGGCTGAGTAGTATTCCATTGTATAAATATACCACATCTTCTTTATCCAGTCATCTGTTGATGGGCATTTAGGTTGCTTCCATGTCTTGGCTATTATATATAGTGCTGTTATGAACATTGTGGTGCATGTATCTTTTCAAATTAGAATTCCCTCTGGATATATGCCCAGGAGTGAGATTGAGTTAATTTCTGAGTAGAAGATACCCTGAGTTGTATGCTCTCTGGTTTGGTTCTCTTATCTTCCAAAAACCATCTCACATGTCTCCTATGACAGCATTAGCCTACTTCAGCAGTTCACCTGCAACAGGAATGGGCATTTTCCAGAGATGCTATGCTTGTCTTTATTAACTTGCTTCATCCAGAACATAGGGAAGCTGGGGTTCCACTCAGATGTGGAAGAGAATTACCAGCTGATATACATTATTCCTGACCCTCCTTTCCCTCCCCTCCCCCACCTACACTGCATCTGCATGATAACCCAGTGCATCTCAGCAACAATGGCACTAGTGGGAATGAGTCCCCAGGACACTGTCCCCTGAGTCCTCTCACATACTCATCAACCTGTGCACAACTAACAGTAAAACCCCACTGCTAAGTCTAAAATCAGTCTTACAAATAGGTAGCTACTGCCTTTTAGTCACTCAACCCTATTACTTGTCATAACTTCATTTCTTTGGCCTCCGATGATTGTCTACAGACATCCTGAGAAAGGGTAGCACCAAAACATTACTAACAATTAATATTATCTTCATTTCACATCTTGGAGAGAAGGTTCTGACAGCCAGCTAAAAGCCAAATGGGAACTACCATGGAACAGAAACATATCCTAGAGACACGGGAAGCTACTGGAGGGGAAAAGGGATGCATGGGAGAATAGGAAGAATCCCATACAATGGCTGTCTGTCTACTTGATAATCCTGCCAAGGGCAAGCTAACAAAGCTATTCACATTTCAAGTGCATCTTTGATTAGCCAAATACTTCCTGGTTAAGATAATCACTGACCCTCAATGCCTTGGAAAAAAGATGAACTTCACACAAAAAGGTCTTGGAAATATGATTTCTGAAGGTTAGAATTATTTCACCTTTCAACCTTTCTTCCCAGAAAGAATACTAGGGAAGGAAAACAACAAGAGGAAGAGTCTGTTTTGCCAACAAAATTAACCACAAAAGTCTACCAACAAAATTAACCACAAAAGTCTAGGTCTTGAAGGAAGCACAAATCAGATTTTTTTCCCCAGCTCTATTACTGCCTACCATAGCCTGCCTACAATCCTTTAGTGTTGTCCATTCCTTCCTAAAGCTGTTCACTCTTGAATAGTTAAGTTTGGAGAGTATTATCACATTAGTGAGCTTTATTTAAATATCCAGCCTGCCTTATCTTGGTCAACCTTATTTATTAATATTTCATATTTTTTGTATCTCAGATTTTCTGTTTTCTGCTGCCATCACACTTTCCTAAAGTTGTGTAATCAAAATGTGCTGTCAGTAGATAAACAAGGCCATGTTATGTAACACAGAGTACAAAGGCATGGAAGAAAACCACCCTGACTCATAATCTAGGCACATCACCGTCTAGTTCTGGACCACTGGGCAGGTAACTTCACTCTTTTGAGTATTAGTTTCTTAATCTTCAAGGACAGATGGCTGCACCCAACTTACAGGGCGGCTGTGTGGTTGACGTAAATGTTTGCAGAGGACTCAGCAGAATGCTCATAGATGCTAGGCCCTTGATAAGGCGGCATTATTATTTTTAGATATAAATCAATATTGTTTTATTGACAAATGACCCTTGATCATTCCATTTGTTTAGTTCTGTCTATATAAAATGTGCATATGCCAATAGACGTGGTGTTTTTTTTTCTTCTGCTCTGGTTTTAACTTCTCGAGTCTAATTATCCATCTAAATTACTTGGCAGGCTCTTATCTTTTGAAAGAGGTAGGTGTGTTCAACATAAATATTACTCCACAAGAGGGTAAATAAATGAGTGAATGTCATACTTCCTTATTTTCTAAAACAAATTAAATCTGACCCTGAGTCTACATTCCACTAAACTAGAGGGAAATTCAATCTGAATCCTTATGGGGGTCTCTCTGTCAGGGTTCTGCAAAGATCATAGGTGGTGGATTTCAAAACTAAGCAGAATATTTGGGGAAGCCCATCTGGCCTTTATTCTGCACTAGTCACCACTGAACTACTCACTGCCAAGCCCACGTGGTCCCTTAATTTAGAAAATTCTGCCTCTTCCATGCCCTGCGTGCGTGCACATGACCTTTGCTCAGGCTGTGACACACACACACCAAGGATCCAGCCTCCCAAAAGATACCTTGTCGCACTCCTTTGTGGGTCTTGCTCCTCCCCCAGAATGGGGCAAGGGCCCCTGTTATTCAAAAAAATCCACATATTCTTCTCCCATCTCCATCAGAATCCCTTGAAGGAGCTCAGGTTTTTGAAACCCAGAGTCAGGAAGGAGTCTGTCCTCAGTTCCTTTTGCTTCCTAGCCCCCAGCATTGACCTCGTCTAAGACTGGGGAGCACAGGGCTGGGCTACTTCTCTTTCCTTTTTTTGAAACTGAGAGGGAAAAAAAGAGAAAACTACAATCAAAAGGGCTCTTATTTTTTTCTGATATATATATATATATGTGTGTGTGTGTGTAACAGAATATATACACATATATACATATCACATATATATACACATTATCAGAAAAATATATATAAGTAACATATCTTAGTTATATATTATATATCATTTATATCACAATGAACTATGCTGCCATCCTGTCACAAACTGAAATAAATCACAGTCTTTGACCCTAGGAGGTTTACAATCTGACTGTGAGAGAGTGAGAATATTGAATGTGGTAGGTGTCACAAGTGAATCAGAGTGTCACGCGAGTTCAGAGGTAGGAGAGGAATTTCTAGCTTGTTATCAGCAAGTAGAGATGAAGAAATCAGTGGAGGTGATTTCATGAGCAAAGGTGAGAAAATGAAAGAACAAGTTTCCAGAACAGTGAACAGAATCTAGCTAGAATCTTTTTTTCTAGTACTGTTGTCAGGGAGAGTGGAAGGTTTGGTGCCAGAATAAGCAGTCTTGGAAGTAAGAGGTCAGACGGGATCAGCCCCATGCTGGGGGCCTGGGGGGGCCAACATGTCTCACCTGAAACAGTGAGGGACAAGGGGAAAGCAAATGGTTCCTACATTTTGAACTGAGTCTTTGAGAATGTGGGTACCATGCTTAGGAAAAGTCTAGAAGAAGAGCTGGTTATGGGTGGGGATCTAAGGGAAGTGTAAAGAAGATTTCAGACTGGAAAAGAAGGCCTGCAGTTTGAGAGATTAGAGATCCAGCTATGGATTTTCGATTAATTAAAAAAAATACATCCCAGGAGGTTGTGAGAGTCTTGAGAATAAGAGCCAAGTCATAGTCCTCTTAGTGTTTGCAGATCAATTTTGAAGGAAGTGACAGTTGGGTAAAGCTGATGAGGCTGAAGCCCCAGTCAGAGGGTATAAGGAGTAGCAGTGAATTAAATTAGCTGTCAGCCCCAGTCAGGGGGATGCTGACCAAGAAATTGTACTGTCACATACATACCAAGTCCCTCAATAAGGTGGCAGTTCTGGGGTTCTACTGGCTCCACTTCTCGATATGCATTAATTCTTTGTCTGTAGAAGACAAAAACACTGGAGGTCAATGCACAACATCCAAAACCAAAGTCTAAACGTGGTCTTTAATCACCTTCATATTCATTAATTCTGTTTCTCATCATTTATGGATGATATGATAAATAAGTAGGGGTCTCATTTTACTTACATTTATTTATATAATGTGGACATTGTGGGTAATGTGCCTATTTTATTTATTTAATAATAAATATCATTAATTTAAATGCACAAAATAATATTATTTAATATGCTAAAGTATTGTCTATTATAAATCTGCACTTCCCCTTAACCCCCTATAGTCTTGCCTTTTGACCCTCCCCCCACAACTGCTTTCCTCAAATTTAACAGGGTCTCCTATTAGGTAAATGCTGTAGCTTTTACTTTAACTTTATTATTTTAAAAGAATTTTACGCTAATTTACTTTGCAAGTATGTAAATTCATTAAACTGATCACAATTTAAACAATTTGCCGAATTATTTTTGAATATAGTGTTCTTGTTTCCACAGTGAAGCATACTACTAAATACCAGGGACAATTTTACATTTTTATTAAACTATATTCAGGAAGACTCGACACTTAGAGTTATCTTATTGTCACTTTAAAAAAATACTCCTTAGATCTGGTTTATAGTTATTGTTGTTTTATGATTCTGTCATTTGGGTGCACTGGGAGAAAGTGTAGCAATAAACTTTGTCAAGCTGAACTAGAAAGTATTATCAAAAGGCACCAGGATCATCCGTAGATTCTAGTCGTGAACTCGGGGGAGATCAGCTTCTTCTTAGAGAAATAAAAACTCAGACAACTGAAGGGCAAGCAGAGACCAACAGATCCACTCAGAAATGCATACCATCACCTAACATGTCTTCTTACCAGCCCAGTATTGACTTTTCCCGAGATTATTTCTGGGATGGCTATTACCCCCAGATCTTCCACTTCAAAAGGTCAGGTCAGGTACCTACAAAATGCCAGCTACCCCCTGCAGGTTTCAGCTCCTTTCCCTGCTGTTCGGCTAACTCTTTTAATGTGCCGAGTTCCGTAACCCAGTACTCCTCAGTGTTGAACTGACTGACCTTGGGCAGCCTCTGGGTCAGCAATAAACATCCAGCCCGGTAGCCTGGTCCCCTCCCCCAAGTCCAGGGCTTCCAACAGAGTTAGTTTGTTCAGGAGCAGAATGCTGAGGGCGACCTGGCGGAAGTGGGTGGGGGGCAAGGCTTTCAGAAAATAAACCATTTCTGCCCCACCATCTTAGGCAAGGCAAGAAGTCAGCTCACCTTCCACATCCCTTTGCTTCTTTAAAGATAGTTTGCTAGGTGGAGCTGAGGAGAGGGGTCCCCAGACTGCTCGCTGCCACCGGGCTAGGAAGGCGGCGCGGGACAGCCCTTAACCCAACTTGGAAGAAGAGAGAAAGAGCCGAGGACGCTCCCCAAAAGATGCCAACTCACCTAAACGCCACTAACCTCTCCCCTATTAGTGCCAGGCCGGCGCCC